TAAATTCAAGCATCTGATTGCATTTCAAGATGCTGTGCAAAAACGTGAAGCATGTCTTCCAGCAAAAGGTTGACTATGTACACAAAAAAAACACACACCAAAGACCAGACAGGCAGACCATGCATGTAACAGAATATCAAAATATGCAGTTAAAATAATTTTGGGTGAATTCATGACTGATATTTTTGCTTAAAACACATTCAAACAGGAGAGGACGCTGAAATGGCTTAGATTGTAAAGCAGTCTGGAAATAAACTTCGGTCAGTCGAGGGTTCAGCAAACATCTGGTTGTCAACCTCTGCCGAGCCATCCCTTAGAGACCAGTAGGTTATGCATAACACATGCGTGATTCATTGAGAGCATGGAGGCAGCAGCAATACGAGGTGACTCATTAGCAGGAGCGATGAGCGCACGTGGAGGCACTTGTTTTCAACGTTGATTTTTACGACCTTCTTACTGTTCCACATTTTTTCTTTTAACAGCAAGTTAGGGAAATAAAGCCACAGCCCTTAAAAAATCACCAGAACATTAAAGAATATATATGCGCCACGAATGACGCCATGCATTTCACGGGAAACTATTTAGCCCGCGTAAGGAAAGAGTTACGGGGCAGCTAAGCGACACACAGTGCTTCACCACGTCCGGTCCTCAAGCTCATCAGCTTGCTCAATAGCGTTCCATCAGCAGGGTCTCCAGCTGTATTAGCGCAATAGTGACAAGACGGGAGCCTCTCCCTGCTACTGTTCACGCGGCGATATTTATGAATCCAATAACCAGGAACCCCCACGTGTTGCATACGTTTAAACGGATGGGTGGCATGAGCTATACACATTTTTACGTATATTATATGAACAAACAATGGAATTCCAATATTTTGTTTCTAATAAAGGAACTTATTTAGTGCAATATACAGTGGGTGCTTAAATACAATTACAATAGATTTAAATACAATTTAGTTTGCAATGCAGTGATATATTGAGCATATCAAACAATCGTTATTAGTAAAATATAGAGACAAACCAATCCTGACAAGCAAATGAGCCTGTAAAGCTGCAGAATACATCCAGATATAATTAGATTATTAATAGGCATGTGCGATCTGCCAATACTAATTTAGAAAATACTTAGGAAACTAACTTTGACCACATGTGACTGGGAGCTGATTATCAACTCATTATACCACAGATACAAGACTCAATTTCAGGAAAGCCAAATGTGCAAGAAACGGACAGGACATTAATGCACATGTTTATGTACTATTGTAGTTCTCTGATGTGTTTTTGGGTTGGACATGCTGTTTGGCACAATTGTCTGATGTTTCAGTCTACATGTTGGGAGCTTCTTCAGGAACTGAATTCAGTTTGTGGAGAAGCTCATCATCAAATAAAGCAAAGCAGTCAGGTTTGGCTTGGAAAAATCACCCACTGAGGGCCCATCTGTGTGAGAAATCATGAGCCGTATACCACAAATGTTCATAAAAACTCTGCCTGCTGGACCTAGGGCTTAAACAAAAGGGGCAATAAAAAAATATGAAATGTTAATTTCCTTTTATTCACTTATATATAATCCTAACTAAAATACTGCATTTAAATTAAACAAGTATGGTTTGTAATTAATCACGTGTCAAACTGCGTGTTGTCTAATCACTACTCTACATGTCTTAATAATGTGACTGTTCATTGCTTGAGCAGTGGCAATGTGAGAAGAAAATTAGTTTGATGACAATGCCAGTTAAATAGTTTAAGGTTATTGCTTATCTATTTATTTACATGTAAATAAGTAAAGCATATCAAATCTTCCAAAAACATTTTGGTAGCAGCAGGCTTAAATAAAATGAGTCGGCAAGGTCTTGTCAACAAAAAGTGAGAGAGGCTTCAGCAAGAGGAGAGAGTTTAATGGTGCGGAAGAGTGTGTTGCCATCACAGCTGTTAGACAAGAGCTGTAATGAAAACAAAAACATCCTGAAGAGAAAATAAGTCTATAGATCTGTCAAAACATGATGTTGCCATGCATCAAGCCCAGTCAATAGCACACTCTGAAGCCTGTACAGGCAGTCCTCGGCTTACGAACGCCCGACTTACGAACACCTGTACTAACGAACCAGCTTCCATGAAACATAAAAAATCACATTGACTTAAGAACACAAACTCGCAATTGCAAACTGAACCGTCGAACTATTTTGTTCAGAGGAGCGAGCCTATGCGAGATGTAATGAGTCAGCCTCACGCTGGGCTGGGAATGTGTCTGTGTGCACGGACGGTAGTTTCGTGGTTAGCGCGCTGCGGTACGAAAACAGCGACCTGAGTACCTGTTGTGGTGTGTAAAAATCACCACTGGGGAGACAATGGTGGCTGGACGCGTTGCTACCAACCCCCTCGTACCAGCCTTCATAAATGCTACTCGCTTACAGCACTTGCTCCTACAGCCTATTAAGGCTATACAGGGAGTCTTCCTCTTTGTGTGCACATATCTTTGTCTTTAGGGATGTGAGCACTAGTGCAACGGTCAGCGCGCTGTGCTACCAACCTGCCTACCAAAGTTCAATTCCCGCTAACGATCAACACCAGTGACGATTAATTGAATGGGACCTGGGCCCCCCCTAGGTCGACTCAGCGTCAAATGAGTACCTGGTGCAGTGTGTAAACATCACCACTGGGGAGACAAAGGCGACCGGGGCGTCGCCACTCCACCCCCTAACGTAGGCACTGCTCGCTAACAGCACTTGCCCCAACAGTCTGTTAAGGCTACACGGGGACATCGTTGTCGTGTGTGTGTCTGTGTGCGCTTTGTGTGTGCGCACATGCCCCATGTGTGTGCAATTGTGGTGACTTATTTCCCCCCTTCCGATTACAAGCTAACATCAGGACTCAAGGTAAGTGAAAATAAAACTGTTTTTTTTTTCTATTTATGTTACTTTATTTTGTTTACTATACAGTATTTTTTTACAGTGTTACATGCAAATGTTAAATATTTATCTTACTTATGAGTTTAACAATGGTTCCCTTTTTTGTTGAACCATAACACATTTCATAACACTGACATTTAAATAGTGCATTATTGTTCCGACTTAAAAACGGATCCCAGGAACGAATTAGGTTTGTAACCTGAGGACTGTCTGTGTGCTGCTGTGTGCTTACCTTCACCAAACTCATGCACTCTGCTGATTCACAAGGGCTTTCCATATAGCAGGTGTTGCTACCCACCAGATTGAAAAGTTTGCGTGTGTAAGACCCATCCATCCGGGCAGGAGGATGTGAGATTCACTTGTGATCTGGCATTGGCATCGAATATCCAATGCTTTCACGAGTGTTCACTCAAAAACGGAACGTTATCTTGTTTCAAATTCTGGTGAAAGATGCCACTGCAATAGGCAGTTGTCCTTCACATATTTTAGGGTAGTTTTATGATTAAAAGTGTAATGGAATTCCATCTCACTCATCACACTAAGCCACAAAACCAAGTAATCCCACCAAATGTTGTACTTTAACAAGACCCACATGAGTGCACTATAATGCCAGTGTAATAGCACATGACCAATGTGAAATATTTATCATTCATAAAAAATATTTATTATACTGTGATTAAATAACCGAAAAATACAATATACAACATTGAACATTTACAGCTCTTACTCGGCCTTAAATATGCATAACTGTATTGTTTGTGTTGACGTTAGGCTGACAAGATGCATTATGCAATTCATTTTATGCAATGCAGTTGCTTCACGCAATTGCTCAGTGTTATATCTTGGAAATTCACTTGCACACGCATGTATAATTTACATATTCCATCAATCAAACTCAGCCCGAGTTTGTATGTGTGTTACATATAGCCTATAATTCCTTTGTAGAGTTACAAGGGAGTAATTACATATTATTATGAAAGGAGTTTTGTGTACCGAAAGCTTTAATTCCTAGCAACATGGTATTGTCACGCTTTAATTTACCAGCATATTACACGCATACTGCACAAAACATAGTGAAACAATATAAATCATGTTTACTACTATAATATGACATAATGTACATGTTGGTGTACGGTTTGCATTAGTGTTTTTTTGTACCGATTGCTATTACTTCATTGCTTTACATAATTTTGTTCATATTCTTTGGAACCAAAGAATATGAATTCCTGCAGTCACGAAAGTTTTCAATAAAAATAAAATTTTGGTCCAACAAGCCGTAACAGCATCGTGTATTACGTATACCGGTTCTTTCGGTAAAAGTATGTATTCCTACAGTCACGAAAGCTTTAAATCAAGATTGATATGTATTCTTAATTACGTTGTCAATTTTCATAATATGAATTTGCTGTTCTGATGTATTTATTTTAGTCAAAGTTTAAAGATGATCATTAAATTTAAACCCCCCATCCCCAATCACATACAACAATAATATAAACAATCTAACAGTGTATTCACAAAGGGCTGTACATATACAATCAATATCCATCCCTCTTTGAAAGAAATTATTATTTAAATTAATTTCTTTCGACGTGATTTTACCGAAAGAACCAAGGAGTAATTCCTGCAGTCACGAAGCTTCGAATCTAGTTCAATGTCCATCCCATCATTAATCCACTGCTGGATGAGGTCCTCCCCACAACGTGTAGACATCAGGACACAGCACAGCAACAACAATGGATTTTTGCTCACAATTCTCTGCTGCCCACAACATAGCCCTGCAGTCTATAACATATGTCGTGCATGTCACGAATCCAAGCACAAACCATGCTCAAACATTCCTAGTTTCGGAGATCTGATGGAATCGTTGCACATTCCGATTAATTTGGTCATAGGCAACCATGGATAATGTGCTCAATAATGCATAGCATTATGCTATCATTATTTAGCACATGCATTTCATTATTTCATTGTCTTTGTGTATGACAGACCTGAAATGTAATTGCATAGTCCTGCAAAAAGAATAGAACACAAAATTAGCCGCACAAGACAGCACGTGGATCTTTGTCTTATTCTGACAGTGGGTTGCAGGACATACCCACTGAGCATGTGAATTCGCTCCGTGTTGTACTTGAGAGGGGTGAGGTCCTGGCGCAGCACCTGCAACGCCTCCAGCAGCTTGCCATCTTCCAGGTACTCCAGGTACTTCTGCTCCAAGAGGAGGAACTTCATGCGCTGCATGGCCACACAAAGCCATAACACACACACACACACACAGCAAAGATGATACTAAACAGTCGTATGTATGTCTGTACACGTGGCTTGCAGTCGCAAAACAGAATGGAAATTTCATTTTCCTACAATTTACATCTAACAATATGGATTGTGCTTGAAGCCACTCACTGAAAGGCTTATTATGGTACAATGAAAATGCATTTCACACTGCTCACACCAATTTAACCATGATACAGTTAATGACAGATATTGTAATGACAATTAACCAATATGATGAGTGACTGATACAAGGCAGTATAATGTGTGGCCAGAAATGCACGGTGTTCGTGGGTCACACAGCAGTCTTTACTGTATCATTACCCATTGATTTATTCATAACTCCAATGACTTCACCCTAGCCTACCTTTCCCCTACTCTGTTTCTCTGTCTTCTCTAGGTATCTCTGTCTCAAGGCCCTCACTGTTTTCAAGTTCTTCCATCAACTAACTCCTACCTGTCCTCTGTTCCAGCAATCAAAATTCCCAGTCAACCTCTAATCTATGGGTGGCTGCTCATTCTCTGCTGTGACGCCGACTGTCTGGAACTCATTACCTCTGGCTGTCTAATATGCCGACTTCCTTGCCATTATTGATTTTGGACTCAGGACCAACCCTTTTTTACTCTATGAGTAGCCCACTACCACTTTTAAGTGCCTTCAATAGTACCTTAAAAACAATCATCTGTAGTTTCCTACTCCTCTTTGTACAATGTCTGGACAAGCGGTAGCATGTAGTCACTCCACAAATTAACATTGCTAGGTGTTGTATTCGATTTAAAAAACTAGTGAAATAATGATATATTGTTGTCCTGTAAAATACATTCATTTACTCTACACTTGTGTGTAGGCAAGAGACACTAATAGTACATCTTGTTTTTTTGTGCTGTTTTACAATTAAAACATTGCATGTGTTTGAAAACTTAAATTAAAATACTGTATCATAAGCATTTATCATTAGGTGTGTAGCAATGTCATCAATTAATATTGGTTCTTTAAGCTCACCACACACACACATAGAATCACATGTGTTACAATGCAGAAATGTATGGTTACATATGCTGTAACATATATATAAATGAATGCATTTTATGAGGATAAAAGTTAACTCGAGCATTTCAACTAATGCATATTAGCCTGCTATGACATATGAATCACAAACATGGTCATTAACAATACAACTGAACTGAATCTGAAAAGCGCACAAAGTAGTATGGAGAGATGCATGCTTGGAATTACACCGAGACAAAAATAAAAGGAATACATGCATCAGAGAACCCATACGGAGATTAAAGACAGCTTTCAAATTCTTAATGACATTAAGTGGACGTGGGCAACACATATCGTCAGAAGGAATGACAGTAAAAACATAATAATTAAGTACCGTTGCTCGGTGGATTATATTACATTACAGCATCACGAGTGATAATGGATGGGGATGATATTCTTGGTTCTTTCGGTAAAGTTACGTGACTTTACAGAAAGAACCAAGAACATGAATCGCTGCAGTCACGAAAGCTTTAAATCAAGATCGGGGATGACTTCATTCAGCAGTGGATTGATCGTGGCTGCTGATAATGATCATGTGCTACATGTAATGAGGTGTCAAGTGACGCTTGCAGCCACGGGGCGAGCTTGACTCGAATCACAGTGCTGGGTTCAGGGGGGGGGGGGGTTGGTAAATTGTTGCATCCATCCATATTTATCGCACTACGCCTATAACTGTACTCGGACATGACAGCGTGCATCAACCATCTGAGTTTCCCCAAGTCAGGAAGATGCATTTACCCATAACGTCTAATACTTGACTTATTGTTCAACATTATTCCATAGCTATTTACTTTATCTACTTTTCAACAATTTTACACCGAAAGCAGTCTTCTAGATGAAAATAAATTCCTCCCCCTGTGTATTAGAAAGCTGTATTCGCAATGACATTGTACAAGTGGCTTTTACAGCACTTCAAACTATTGCCCTAAAATTATACATATTTATACTTTAAAAAAATGGAAATGAATAATCGGGGTTGAGATCATTGTGATTGCACTGGGTCGCAGAGAGGGACGGAGCTTATGGGTGACACAAGGCGGACACACGAGCCCACGGCTGGCAAAGCCAGCCAAGCTGCGCCTCTCTCCGACACCATTCGCGTGCCTGGAATTGCTGCAGACAGTGCAAGATGCAGTGGCAGGTCGAGCCGACATTACAAAAAAAACGATTACAACATTCACTGGCAATCAAAACTGCAAAAAGGCTCCGGCTCGCATCTCAAAAAAACACACCTCCCCATTCTTGCCCTTGAGCAATTTCTGATACATCCACACGTGAGAGAGAGAGAAAAAAACGGGACAATGTTTGGCGTACATTAAAACGGACACGGGGCAACAAAATCTCTCAACAAACGAGCACAGGACAACAACTGCACCATACACACAAACTCAACACCAACAATGCCAAGACTTACACAGTGGCCTTAGACACCTACAGCGAGCGACTTTAGGGTGATATGAAATCCATCGAGAGGCACTTAAACGTGTGCGTCTATATAAAATGTGAGCCCAGCCGTGATGGGCACACAACGCACGCTGTGAATAGCTGTGCACACACAGTGGGGCCTTGGCAAGAAGTTGTTCCCCGAGCCAAAGGATTCCCCTTGTGTCACTTAAATCTTTTAGGAGGTAGTGGAAAGAACCAAGGCTTATGCCTCTGCAAAGTCATAACGTGACATATTCGCTGAGATACGCTTGTAAGAGTGACTGACATGGGTGTGTTGTCGGATCCATTCCATTTCTCATAAATGTAGGAGGAACTTTTTATTCCAAAGGGTTTACAGTAATCGTGTCCACGCTGGTTTGTTTAAGGCCATTCGTAATGGTCTATCTTTTATCACGGTGAAAGTTTCCGCAACGTTTCTTAAACCAAAATCATTTTTCGCCAGCTCCAACACACTTGTTTTTATATCAATGTGTAACCGCGAAATAGTAAAAGACATACGTGTGTACGTTTTAAAAAACCTAACTTGTACCGCATCAACTAAACCATTGACTTACACGAGTACAAGCTTACATGAGTACAAGCTTTGAGTAAGTTTTATTCACTGTATGAAAAGAATGCGTTAGCAAACTCACGCATGGCATGATAAGTTTCGCAAATAAATACCACACATTGGGGCTGCTGCTGTTTCTTAAACAACAAAAAAACATTTCGATTTAAAGCTTTCGTGACTGCAGGGATTCATCTTCTTGGTTCTTTCGGTAAAGTCACGTGACTTTACCGAAAGAACCAAGAAGAAAAAACAAAAAAACACTACGTGGAGGACACAGAGAATGCAGTGGAATTGAACAAAAGCCATTAAAACGTGAGGCCGAGCTGGCAAACAGGAGGCGGGGCAGGGGAACGACGGGGAAAGGAGACTCGGGCTGCTGCTGTAAGCAGAGCGCCATGTACCCCCCCTCCTCCTCCCTCCTGCAACTCAGCCATTACGTGGGCTCAAGACGAGAAGGAGACATCGTACACGCAGAACAACAGTGCCGAGTTGGGAGACGTAAACGAAATGGCATTCAAGGTGCCAAGATCAATTTACCCATCGAGCAATACGTGATATTTCAAGACAATTCGGATTCCCTCGGCCCGGAATAGGGACCGTGGCCGGCTGGGTGCTGTTAAAGGGACCCGCTGGGTTTTAAAACTTACGGTCGGGGCAGCACGTCACATATACGCGTGGCCAAGGAAGCCCTTGGTTCCAATACGAGCTTGTCTCCACTGACCAACAAGCAGGCACTCACATTAAAGAACCAAACACCAACCACGGGAACTAACCATTTACAATGCCAACGCTCTGCCATGGCCAAGGGCTTGCTGAGCCACTTGTGTAGACTTGTTGATAGTTGCTTTATGACTGCATGCAAAAAAACCTTACAGTAACCGATTAAAATAGGAAGGCATCTCCGAGTCTCATAATTCGAAAGTATAGTTAGTGTTTCTAGTATTTACTGTACTGTTTTACTATGTTTTGCAAAGGTTTTTTTTTACCCCATTAATTCTACGGACTATCGTATACTGACTACATGGTATATATGCACTTTGGAAAGAAGTTATAAAATTGCATGTTTAAATGAGTACATTTGCCGGTTTGGTCTACTTAAGCCGCTGTGAAATTTAAATATAATGAACAGACCAAGTTACCCTCTCTCACATTGATAAACTGAATGCTAAAAATGTATATACTGAAAAAGGCATTTCAAATTACCGCAACGTCAAATAAATTGCTCGCTAATGATATGCACATTATATTCAATCACGACAATCATACCATTTCCAAACATTAGGCAATAAGCCATTTCTATATCTTTTTTACTATGTAATACCCTTGATTTCACTAATAGCTGTATGTTAATTTACAACACCTTTAACCGCGTTGTGTTACCCTTTGATCAAAGCACGTGGAATCTACTCGATTTCAACAGATATCAGAAGCTAAGCAGAATCCTAATCTTTATTTAGACTGGGTTGTGCCTGGGGACTCTACTTGATTGGGCAATCACCATGCATAAAACAGGTGTTATAGGATTTTGCGGGCTTCTGCGGGGCTCTGTCAGCAAGGGCCATTTGCAACATACATTTTTGTACTATGCTATGCCCTATGTCCCTTGCCTTCACCAACCTGTACTGCCAAGCTTGGTGACATTTGGTCAAATAACCACCCCCTCCCCATGGGGAGGCCGTCATCCAGCAGTGGATTGACAAAAGGGCTGTACATATACATCACTGTATTTAAATGGGCAGCCTAAAATACGTTTAAACGGCACAGCTGAGGATAGGCATATACGTGTGGGATTTCATCCATCTCCTAGTCAGTGATGCATGCACATGCAGCAGCAGCTCCTGCATCTACAAAGACAAAGATCCCCAGCGTATAGCCTTAACAGACTGTTGGGGCCAAGTGCTGTTAGCGAGCACCTATAAA